ACAAACTGAGCCCCAGGCTGGGATGCTCGTCCACGGCTTATGAATGTCGGCTGGGTTCATTAACGCCTTTTGCGGTTCAAAGATGGTCAATACTCTAGCCGCTGCCTTCCATCCAACTGCATGAGAAAAAAAGAAAGGAGGAATTCAACTTCTTCCTGTGTTTTGCCAATGCACAGTATGTTGTGTGGGTAATTTCTGGTCTGGCCAGTAAAAAACCTCCGGGAGCCGTCCGTAGCTCTTTAATTATGAACTGTAGGGGACACCACAAAATAAATACTTAAAATGTCTAGACAACCAGTCATCAGAGGAGGATAATTAACTTCAAACATTCTAAATTGTTGGAGGAGTCGTTATGCACCTCTGTAGTTCCTTTCGGGACCCTACCCCAGTGGTGTGTTTGCAGCCACGAGGCTGTAGGGCTGGCTGAAGCCCCCTCACCCCCTACGGCAAGTAACCAAGTAGCCGGCAAACAAATACTTAAAGAACAAGAAGGAAGAGCACTCCTTTTCCCAAAACAGGAAAAATGCTGCTTCCTTTTAGCAAAATAAAAGCACAAAATAACACTGTAGCTGAATAGAAGAAATACTGTTTATCCAGTCTATTGTATATATTTTTGTCTTAATTTTTTATTACTTAAAAATTTAATTGTCTTATTTTGGCAAGAACTGGGTAAATTTGAGACTGAATTTAAACTTGAGGCATTTCTAGTTCCCTCAGATTTTCTGTGAGGAAGCATTTTTAGCTTAGGACTCATGCTGTGTTTTCTTTGTTATGTTTTTGAGTCAGGGTCTGCTTTAGCCCAGGCTAGCCTCAAATTCCCTAAGGAGCTGAGGAGAAAGATCTTGACTTTCTGATCTTCCTGACCGTACCTCCCAAATGTTGGGGTTCCAGGCACACACCACCACGCCTGATTATTTTTTTAAACTGAAAGCAACAACTCCACAAAAGAGGTATGGATCCCACGATGAAAACTTGTTACAAACAATCTACATAGTGCCAGGCTCCTGCCCATACTTTTTAAGGACAGCCATGGGGAGCCCAAAGGCCTGACTGTCAATCAATCAGGTCAAAAACCTGGACTCAGACAGCTTGTCTTTAGGCAGTGAGTGGATTTTAAAATGTGAATCTTTGTTAATGCAGAGCTGAGCGTGGCTCTGAGCAAAGGTACACCATTCAGAATGCTAGCTGCATCTGATGTTATCTTTCCCCCAACTTTTTACCTCTGTCACCCAGCAGGCAACATTTTAGAAGACCCAAGAATTACAAATTTTCATCTAATTCTAATGCCATTTTCCTTTAAATGAAGGAAATGCAAAGCCAAGTATTATTTAGTAAAAATTGTACATTATACTCAGAATGACCACATTAATTGGGATGGCTTTAATTAAAGGTGAGATCTGATTACATACATGTATTTTTGAAAAACCATAATTGTCTTGTGCAAGCCACTGAATAGATTTAGGGATCTTCAATAACAAAATTACATTAATGACATAGGTTATTAAATATGATTGATGGCAAAATTGGACCCCTCTTGCGTCTCTACCACAGAAAAGCACACGGGCTTTTGAAGATGGTGCCTTGAGTGTCAACAAGAGAAGCAGGAAAAGAGCTATATACCATTCAGGCTGGCATTCGCCAACAAATGCCTGAGTAATAAAGAATACCTCTTGCATGTAGTCCCTTGCATGTAGGTGAGTAGATGGAAATTGAACTGTTGAGCTGTGCAGTAATCTTATTTCCAGTGAAGTCAGGAGGAAGGACAGCCGATGACACAAAGGGGCAGCAAAGCTTCGAGAAACTCTGTGGAGGTCGCCACTCTCCAGAGAGACCAATCATCTCTAACAATAGCCAGCAAAATATGGTAGCAAGGCTGATGCGGTTGTCCAGGCAAACATGGACAATGGTTGCGTACATGCCTATCTCTTCCGTGTAGCAGCCATCTTCCTCAAAACACTACCTGTGGCCTCAGAGCAAGAAAGAATGAGAGGAGGACAGTGATGCTGGGTTCTCTGACCCATGGTGCAAGGCAAAGCCCAAGAGTTCAATGACCAGATAGAACAGAGAAACGTCCTGTGGCAGACTTTTCTCATGCACGACCCTATACAGCCCTCTGCCAGTGGAGATGAGGAAACTGAGGGTCTGGGACATGAAGTACAGTTACACATTTTAGAATCACCTGGGAAGGCCAGCTTGTGGGTAGACCTGGGAGGGACTTTGAGGTGGGGACCATGAAGGTCTGCCCTGAATGTGGATTGTACCATTTTCACGTGCTGGGCCCTGGACTGAATGAAAAGGAGAGACTGAGGTAAGCAGAGCGCTGTTTTAGACTCACTACTGCTGTGAGGAAACACCATGGCCTAAAGCAACTGAGGGATGAAAGGGTTTCCTTGACTTACACACCCTGGGTCACAGTCTGCTGAGGGAAGCCACAACAAGAACATGGATGCAGGAACTGATACACAGGCCATGGAAGAGGGCTGCTTACTGGCTTGTACCTCATTGCTTGGCCAACCTACTTTCTTTTAGAATCCAGGACCACCAACCCAGGGGTGTCTGCACCCACAGTGGCCTGGGCCCTCCCACATTGATCACTAAATAAGAAAATGCCCTTCAGGGTTGCCTGCCTACAGCCTGATCTCAGGGAGGCATTTTCTCAGTTTCTCAGATGACTTTAGCCAGTGTCAAGTTGACAGGAAACTAACCAGGACAGCATACATGTACGAATTCATTGTCTGCTGCTCTTGGTTGTGGATGCTATGTGATGTGATCAGCTGCCTCAAGCTCCTGTTGCCTAGACTTTTCCACACTAATGGGTTGTCACTTGGATATCCGAACTGAAATGAACCTGTTGTCCCCTAAGTTGTTTTAGTTAGGATGTTTTTATCACAACACATGGGAAGCTGGGACAGAAAGTGACCTTAGTCCTCTGGGTCACAGACCGAACACGATTCCAACTCGAGCACACACGTCAAGGATTACTGTGTTGCAAGAGTCCCAGTCACCAGGCGAGGCAGTGCTGGCTAACTCATACTCGGACACTAGCCTGACAGATATTTGCTGTGCCCAAGATGAAGGCCTGGTGCTTAGGGAGCGTCACTCCCAGGTGATGGAAGGATGCTCGGAGGTCTAAAGTCTTTTAGCCTTGGGCTCGCAAATTCTGGTAAGCCCGTGTGTGCGGTTGCTCTTGATCTCCTCCCCACCCATTCCTGCCTCCGTGCCCGATGTTTCTCTCCCGAGCAAAAATTGTGCAGGCATCTTGAGGAAGAACCGATGCTATTCTCCTAGAGACTGGAGAGGCTGGGGTTCCAGGAAGTTCAGTAGCATGTACTGGATCCATAGGCTACTATGTCAAGAGTCAGTGTTTAAACTCAGACCCAGAGATTCAGAGACACCACCGCCCTTAGCTACAAGGATGTAGTCTCAAAGAGAACGAAACCAGGAGCTGACAGAAAGACTCCTGCCTGCATCCTGGCAGGTGGGAGGGCTTTGCCTGGGGTCGCATGTGTCCATCCAAAGCCTGTCTCATAAGTGTTCATCACACAAGCTCTTCCCTGTATTGTTCTGGGCTGCGGAAGTACCTGGTTCTCACTGGGAGAGCAGGGCGAGGGGCAGCAAACACTTTCTAAGGCAACTTTCAGCCCCCCAGCTGCAGATCCTTATTTCAGACAGAAAGAGCTATAATTATCTCCCTTCTCTTCCTCCAACAGGAGTTTTAAGATCCTGGTTTGAAGCTTATCTGTCGACATCAGCAGAGTAAGGGGGGCGTCTCACGAGGCGCCACCACTAGACAGAGACCTATAAGCAACTAGTGACTGCCGAAATGAAAATTAGCTTCTCCGAGGGATGAGGCCCCTTATTGGCTGCCCAGTGCAGGGTCGTCAGTCCTGAAATCATATATACACAAAAGCCAAAATGGACCTATCCAGTTGTGTTGATCTATATTTGTGCATATTCACACACACATATGTAATAATAATAATCAAAGAGAGAGGCCATCAACTTGGGGAGAAGGGGAGGGGCTCAAAGGTATATATAGCTGGGAGGAGTTGGTAAAAGGAAAGAGAGGGGAGAGTGATATAATTCTATTTCAAATAAAAACATTTAAAAATTAAAAAAAATAAACGTCTATAACTAAATAAATACATGCACATATAAGACCGTTGAACTTCTCATTTTACCTCTTTTTCTTAATTCTTGTAAATTCTTAGGAATCTCAGTCCTGTATTATCTAATAGAAAATTTGTTTTACCTGCTTTTTTTCCCCCCTGTTTGTATTTCTCTTTCCCTGGGTGCCTTAGACTTCAGCTCGGGTCTCTAGACTCCAGTTCAGGTCTCACATGGTTGGCTCAGGCCAAGGCTTCTCAGATAATCTGGGTTTGTTTCTCAATCCCCGAAGCATAGATGCTTTTGTTAAATGTAGTAATAAGATGAATTTCTAGAAAAATGGCCGTCTGATTATATGTCTTGGACATGTGCCATTTCTATGAAAACTTGAGGTGTTCATGTCTCCTTTTGGTATTCGCTGGGGCGTGTACCAGTAACAGACAGTCCCCATGCTCTGGCAACAGAGACTGTCTGGATTTAGATCTGTGGCTCCTGGTCAAGGATGTGAGGAACCTCCTCACCCAATCATGGCCCTAGCTCCTACTTGGCCTAGGAGCTGAGCAATTGTTTTTTGGAAGCCATAATCCTGAGAGAAATTTCTGCATGTCTCTTGTTCAGCCTATCTTGCATTAGTTACGTCCCACATCCCTAGCTTTGAAAGTGGAGACTAGCCTAGTTTTGAATTTTATTAGAGAAACTTAACAGGAGTGAGAATGAATACCTATCACAGCCCTTCAGGGCCCTGCCCACTGCACTGTATTCTGATGCTTCTAATCAATACACGTGAAGACCTTGTCCGGGAAATAATACCTTTGCTTTTCTTATGTTAACTGTATTTAATATAGCAGGTGACAGGCCTTTACCTTCTTGCTGTCCTTTGTTCTTTGTTGCAGAGCCTCGGAGATGTTTCTACCCTAATCCTCAGGAAAATCCACTTCCAGCCCGTTATCTGACCAAAGAGAGCAGTCCGTTTAAATTTGAATATGGAAATTCTTCTGGCCAATGAGACCAGAAGGGAAATCTGAGGAAAGTTCCTGGGAAACGTTTCCTTGCTCTTAAAATGAAACAGACAAGAAGAAATGGTTGGTGTCTCCACATCAGGGCCCTGATGTGAGGGTCTGTGAGGTCCACATGCTTTTGTGGATGCAGGGGAATCCCTGGACGACAGAGTCCTTACTCTGAGGAGAGCAGAGAGGAAAATGAGAATAACCCAGGCCCCTCATGGCGACCCGAAAGCCCGCCTCCTTCATTACTTAGGCCATTGAATATAAGCAGTTTTCCTGTTCTTTGACTGGGAATTGTTACCGCTTTCCGCTGATGGAGCCTGGTGACAGGCACACGCCTGGCTCCCTGAGGATGGAAGTCTGCAGCAGGACGCCTCTCACCCTCTCAGCCTTACAAGTCACCCATCACAATTCTGGACTTTGAGTATTCTTGGGGGCACCATTAGACATGGGAAATAATTCAGAGTTTCTTGTAAATGTTCACGGGTACTTTGAAGGACAAATTAAAAGGCTATGATTATTTTCTACGGAGTATATTTATTTGGATTGGTGAAATGAAGGTTTCTCATCTTAGTCAACATTTCTTTAGTGCCCGTGAGACCCTAACCCTGCATTAGAAGCCTGGGTGGCAGTAAAAGAAGCCAGAATTGGGCCTTTCTCCTTAAAGAAACTGATGTAAGAGAGAAAACGTAACACAATTCATCAAGATCAACTCTTTAAAGGGGAAAAATGAGAAACCGTGTCAGAGGTCAAAGTGAGGCAGACACTATTTGGATTAACTTTTATTTACTTTCGGTATTGATCTAGGTTACTCCCACCAATATGGATCCCGATATGAGTTGAACTAAAGTAGAGCAGATTTGAAATATTCTTTCTATAGTTAAAAGAACAGAAATTAGCGTCTGAACCTCTGGTTATAGCGTGTCTCTGAACACCAGGCAAGCAGTTATCAGATTGAAAGAAACTCCGTAGGGTGCTATGTTCATTAAATGTGTAACTGTGTCAGAATCACGACACTGAAGGTTCCTTTGCAGCCAAGTGGTGAGAAAAGGCCCTTTAGAACCGTCACCCCCTGACAGCGTGCAAAGTGAAACCTGCGCGGGTTCTCAAATCTTTGCACGTTTCTCTGGCTGATCATCGGTTCCTCCGAACACTGTGGATTTGTGTGAAGCGTGCCTACAGGCTGCATATGCTAAAAGTTAACAGGAAAATGTACCCCAGAAGTCAGAGGTGAGAGTTTCCTAGAGCAGGCCTTTGGTGCGCCTGCCTATTGAGCTGGATCGTCAGCGGCCTCTGCAGAGCTTAAGCTGCAGGAGCAGCTGCGGGATTCAGGTAATCAATCACCTGGGGAGCTGGGCCATCCTTTAGTGGGTTGTGGAAATCAGCACCTGCTGTCCGCTTCATCCACGCTGGTTGCAATTTCATTTGATTGCCTTTTACATTAAAAAAAAAAAAAAAAGCAAAACAGCTAGGCAGTGGTAGCACACACCTTTAACCCCAGCACTTGGGATGCGGAGGCAGGCAGATCTCTGTGAGTTCGAAGCCAGCCTGGTCTACAAGAGCTAGTTCCAGGAGAGGGTCCAAAGCTGTCTCAAAATAAATAAATAAATAAACAAACAAACAAAACCAGTTATCATCTTTAAAGACTCGAAGAAAAAATTTTAAAAAGTACTATGTAAGTAGCTGTTCAAAGGATGGAGTTCTTCATGTTATACAGATCGTCCTATGTTTTTAGACAAATACTTAGAAGTCATGTATGGTGGGACACACCTGTCATCCCTGCACTCAGGACAGCAGGCAGAAGGATATTGTGAATTGGACCAAGCTAAACTATATCAGAAGAATGTATCTCAAAGTAGTGACAAATGTTGTATAGATAGGAAGATGATGACAGATAGAAAGATGGGTAGATAGATAGATAGATAGATAGATAATAGATAGATAGAGTTGATAGATAATTAGATAGATGATAGATATGATAGATAGATAGATAGATAGATAGATAGATAGATAGATAATAGATAGATAATAGAGATGATAGACAGGTAATTAGATAGATGATAGATAGATAGATAATAGATAGATAGACAGATGATTGATAGATAGATAGATAATAGATAGATAGATAATAGATAGAGATGATAGACAGGTAATTAGATAGACGATAGATAGATATGATAGATAGATAGATGATAGATAGATAGATAGATAGATAGATGATAGATAGATAGATAATAGATAGAGATGATAGACAGGTAATTAGATAGATGATAGATATGATAGATAGATAGATAGATAGATAGATAGACAGATGATAGATAGATAGATAATAGATAGATAGATAGAATTGATAGATAATTAGATGATAGATAGATATGATTGATAGATAGATAGATAGATAGATAGATAGATAGATAGATAGTAGACTAACAGATGCATGTGTCTGTGTCATCACCTGGCTGTCTATATCTATGCACAGAGCCCTTTCTCAGATGCAGTTAGCAGAGAAACTACTGGGTTCTGAGTGATCTCACTACATCAAGAAACAGACATGAAGCAAAACCTCCTCTGGAGAGTCTGTGGACTGGATACCAAGCTACCAACTACTTCTCCAATTGATTGCTTTTGTGTATCCAGCAGCTCTACCATGTATAAAATAAAAGGTTTTCCCTACCCTCCGTGTGTGTGCGCATGTATGCATGTGTGTGTATATACCTGTGCACTTTGTTGATGTTCAAATAAACCTAGGGCCATGCACATGTTACCATGGGTTATACCGAAAACCCCAAAGTAGTCCTAGGTATATAGAGATCCCCCAAGGCCATTTTTACCACATCCACTGTAAAGTCGAGTTTTCCACACTTTATTTGATTTCTTCTCTCCAGACAAATCTTTGGTATGCACACTATTACTTCCCTCATTGTAGAAATGGGGAACTTGAGAATTAGTGATTGTTGGGGATTTCTTTCCTAAGGAAAACTGCTAGCCAATGGCAATACTGGGGTTCAAACTCACATTGACTGGCCCTGGATGTCTGGCTTGTACTAATTTGGCAACACTTTCTGAATATGTCCAAACCCTATTTCGTAGAACAGTGATTCTGGGCACATCCTCAGCCAAGAGGAAAGCCGTGTGGCGGGGCAGCCATCTGAGGAGGGTGGCGGCTGCACTGAGGGGTTTCTGTCCTCAGGCTTACTCTGACAGAGACACTTTCCAGCCTACAGCCAGCCCACCCTCTCTCAGCCCGGGCATAGCTGCCAGGTTTCCTGGACCGGGAAGAAAGCCTCCGATTAGCAGGAGGCTGCGGCTCCCAGCATTCCTGGGACAAGAAGCATCTGTTGCTACCCCCATTGTTCCAGCTGAGAGCACACTAATTGTCCTCTCCGAAGTTGGACCTCGGTCTCTTGCCAGAGGGAAATTATGGACCCTTTTTCAGCAGGCTGTCCTCTCCACAGCTGTCAGCTGAATGGCCCCAGGAGGATGGGTAGATTTGGGGGTGGGGAGAGAAGTCCATCTTGCATCCTGATCCACACGGCAAAGGAAAGTTAGCACATCCCTTGGACGGTCACCGCCCACTAAATCCCAGACATGTTGGCAGGAGCTTATCATGAGGGTTGTGTACAATTTTGTGGCAAGTCCTTGGCACTCAGGGGCTCAGAGCCAGGGAGCATTTTGGAGGAAATAGTGATAGAATGGGCTTGACGGTTTGGGACAAGGAGGGTTCAAATCCAGCTTTGGCATTCATTAGCTTTGACCTCATACAGCCATCATCCAGGGCGGCAGACAGGAACAGTGAGGGGTATGTCTAGCCATGAAATATTTAGTGATGTTCCTGTATGCATAAACGTTCAGCCATAAAACTAACTTTTTTTTTAGTATTAAACCATCTTATTGGATCTAAATATTGGACCACAGCTGTGGGGATAACTCACACAACAGGAATTCTGTACAAGGAAACAGAGAGGAGAATAAGAGACAGGATTCGCATACGCTCAAAAGTATTTTGCTACCAACTGTGCCCAGGCGCAGGACTGGCTGCTAGACATTGCTATAGTTGCCAATAAGATGCCTGGTCCTATAAGAAAATTATACAACATGGGTGTCCCGATCCCACACTGGAGACACAGCCATCGCTGTAAGATACAGTTGGAAGCTCTGGCAAAACGTAGTGGGAAGGGACAGAGCCTCACCCACCTCTTACTTCCTCAGCCACTGCTTCCTCGAGGAGCTCTTCTTGGTACAGTCTCGGGAGCACGCACCATCCACAGCACAGGTCTGAGGGCAAGTCTTGGGTACAAAGCTTCCCTCTCTCTTAGTGTCCCCTTTTCTGCACAGGATGATAACTTCTAGGTGTCACATCAGGGAACTGCAGGGGTGGGTTGGGTAAAGATCTGGGAATGGTTTTAGAATCTAAATGCATGGCATGTTCCATCATTTTCAGATCCCAGCACCTCAAGTCTTGTCTAAGTCCCCATCATGAGGTCATGAGGTTACCTGTTCTGAATTTAAAGGAAGTTCCAGACACACGACATGCATTCCAACATGCACACATGCACACACATGCACACACACTGGAGAATGAGACAGAGACAGAGAGAGTCCTGTCCAAACAGTGTTCAATGTCCTGATTAAACCTGATCACTAGCCATGACATTTCATTAAGACTGAAACAGGCACATGTACATGGCTACTATGGAAACCTTTCCTGTCCGCCTCCAAATATCCCAGGGGCAGATTTAAAGGACAAATGTTCCCAAAATGGGAGTGTAAGAATGCAAATTTACTCTGTGGATTAATTAGACATTAATTTGTGTCTAATCACAGACTTGCAGGCTGTATGGGGAGGCCCTGGTAGTTAGTGTGTATCATCTCACTCTGGGTCAGAGGGCAAATGAGGCCCATGGGGCAGGTGATAGAAAAGTCAACAAGTATTTCTTGAGATTCCTTATGGTAGATGCATCAGGTGCTGGCAACAGCGTGGGAACAAAATGGAGCAATGCCATTTTATGTACCATTAAGCTTAGAGTCAGGTAGGGAAAACAGGTATGATATGAAGAGTCATACAAAGAGATAATTACAGACAACATAAGGCTGCAGGATGAAAACGGGACACCGTAGAAGCAGAAGCTGAAGTCTGTGAGAACCTGGCATGAGCCCATTCATGTTTGCCTGAAAAAGAGGCATCTGAATGAGATTAGAATTAGAATTATGGAGAAGCAGGACTCAGTTCTAGAGAAAAGGGGGCTTCGTGCAGAAGGAAGAGCCTAGAGAATGGTCTTCAGGTGATAGTGAGACATGCTTCATTCAAGAATCACAAGACATAACAGTATTGTAGTCTGAAATGGCTTGGTGTGTGTGTGGTAGTTTGAAAGAAAATGACCCTCAAAGGGAGTGGCACTATTAGGAGGTGTGGCCTTGCCTTGTTGGAGGAAATTTGTCACTATGGA